AGCTCACAAACAGGAAATAGAATAATTTGTTACTGTTCCTTCATTCCTGCCCATATTTTAACTCACTTTGCAGGTTTTTTTAAAAAAAAGTTATTTATTTGACTGATTGCTCTGCAGAAAGGCTTATCAGCAGCAAAGACATTTTTTCTCTTGCATTTAAAAGCATCTTGCAAATTAATGATGGGGAAACACGTTGAATATCTGCAACCAAACATTTTCTTCAGCACTTCTAACCATGGTTGCACATTACTTACAGCAGCTAGTGAGGGAAAGGGGGAGAGATGTTCTAAACAATGCCTACAGACGGGCATCAGGAAAAAAATGCTGAAGCTAATGGCAGGAGCTGGAGTGAAGCACAAGTTCCCACCAATGGGAAAATGAACTACCCTTAAGTTTGGCAGAGCTGTGCAGGAAACAAAATCAGCTTTGCTCTGGATTCAAGTAAAATTGTGTAGAAACAGAGGGAAAAAACTCTAACCTCTTGAAGATTGATGACTTTAAAGGATATAGGTTTGGTGTTGATAATGAACAGGCATACAGAGATCATGTAGTCGTGCCCTTATTTCATGCCAAATGTTGATTAGATATGTCAAGTTTCACCACTGTTCCATGTGAACTGAATATGTACTGCAGAATACCCACAACTCTTAAGCATTTACACATTAGAGAGGAAGACTGGTATAGGAAATCTATGAGCTACTATTGATATTTTCCTTATTGATCTTTTCCTTGCTATCTTTTTTAGGTTCCCTGAAAAACATTCAGTTCGCTCTCAAATTTTATATCACTTTATGAGAAATCATGAGTTCAGAGAGCAAGATACTTCACCAACTGGATAGCAATAGATGGCAATGGGGAAGATTATTAGGAAGACACTGAGCCTTTGCCCACTTGTCCCTAAACACAACACCAGCATGTCATGACCTCTTTTTTTCATTCTCTCCATAACATTAGAGCCAGTTTGATGTAGTGGTTAAGGCACCAGGCTAGAATCTGGGAGATTGCAAGTTCTAGTCTCACCTTAGGCATGAAGCCAGCTGGGTGACCTTGGGCCAGTCACATTCTCTCAACCCTAGGAAGGAAGCAGTGGCAAACCATTTCTGAAAAACCTTACCAAGAAAACTGCAGGGACAAGGCCAGGCAGTCGCCAGGAGTCAAAAACTGACTTGAAGGCACACACACACACACCATGACATTACCTTCATTTCATCCCCAGCCTACCAGTGAGACAGACATAAGTCATCAATAGCTGTACCAGTGTTGAAGTAGTATTTTTCATTACTCCTACATAATCCAAAGGCAGCCTCAAAATACATAACATTAGGTTTTGTCACCTTGGAGAGCAGTCAAGGGACTGCAGTGATTTGAAACTAGCAATAGATCCACGATGGGAATTGGCAGGCAAGGCAGCAAACACTGGCCTAGTTTTCTGCTGACTCAAAGACAGGTGAGTAGCACTTCAACTGTGCTATGGGAAAAGATCAGTAGTAGGTCACAGGTCTCTTCTACCAGTCTTCCTCTCTAACGTGTAAACTTCTGAGAGCTGTATTTTGTGTGAAATGTTTTTCAAAGTGACAAAGCAGAGATTCATTTTTATGTAATTTACACCTACCTTTGCCCAAGTTTCCCTCCCCAGCCAAATTCAAGTGGCAAACTTGAATGCAAAACTGAGATCAAGCATTTATTTTCTTTACAGATATTCAGAATGACAACCTATCCAACTTACTGTTCATTTAAAATAATTGGGCTTTGTTACCTGTATTTGGATGTAATCTATACACTTCTCCAGAATATTAATCAATCAGTCAATCAGTCAATCTCCAGGATATAATGGATCTAAAATGGAGTATACTCACTGTTCTACCACCAGGCTAGATGGCATTGCTGTCTGGTAAAAGGAACATGGCCCTGTCCAGATATTATAATGCATGGTAAAAGAAGGTGGCCTGATAGTCTTCAAAGTATTATTTTAATTTAAGAAAGATTTTCATTAGTTCATACACTTAAGAGCCTACAACCAGGGTGGTGCTGGCCAGTTGTATATGTCTCAAAAAATATTGGCATACAATATATCTAATGTTCATAATGTGCTACCATATATGCTTTAAGCACCATTTGCATGAAATAATTTCCATTTGCAGATTGTATGAAAGCATATGGGGAAGTAAGCATTCAGATCCTGAAATATTATTTTTACTTGCTGTATAATAATATTAGGCCCACATTTTACACCTATAGAAAATTTATAATTAGAAAGACAGAGCCTGAGACTGTCACATGGAAATTACATTTGCTCCAAGCTATAACAATTTATAAAGTTTTTAACTGACTGAGACTATAATTCTCCAGGACAGCAAAAGCATAAAATATAGAATTAAAAGCAGAAATGCTATTTAAACCTAAACTAATCTCAAGTGTTGCGATATTGACAGTTACTCCACATCAATTTAGAACTGAGGTGGTTGGTAGGTTCCCAGCTATTGCTACAACCCTACAACCCCATGGTTTATCCCCATAAATGTTTATGAGAGTTAACCTTTCTGAACTTGGT